ATTAGGGGTCTGGAGCACATGACTTATGAGGAGAGGCTGAGGGAACTGGGATTGTTTAGTCTCCAGAAGAGAAGAATGAGGGGGGATTTGATAGCTGCTTTCAACTACCTGAAGGGGGGTTCCAAAGAGGATGGAGCTCGGCTGTTCTCAGTGGTGGTAGATGACAGAACAAGGAGCAATGGTCTCAAGTTGCAGTCAGGGAGGTTTAGGTTGGATATTAGGAAACACTATTTCACTAGAAGGGTGGTGAAGCACTGGAATGCGTTACCTAGGGAGGTGGTGGAGTCTCCTTCCTTGGAGGTTTTTAAGGCCCAGCTTGACAAAGCCCTGGCTGGGATGATTTAGTTGGGAATTGGTCCTGCTTTGAGCAGGGGGCTGGACTAGATGACCTCCTGAGGTCCCTTCCAACCCTGATATTCTATGATTCTATGATGCCTTTGTTTATGCAGGTTACAATACCATTGCTGTTTGTTGTTGATCCTGTAAATAATTGCTTCAGTTTACTCAACCCACAAAGCATTTATATATTTCTCTCCTTGGTCATTTGTAGCAGACTATCTGCCTTTTGAATGATTTAACCCTGCAGAGCCATCAAAAAAGCTAACAAAACGTTAGGAACCATTAGGAAAGGGACATATAATAAGTAAATATTATAATGCAACTATATAAATCCATGGTAGCTCACACCTTGAATACTGCGTGCATCTCAAAAAAAGATATATTGGAATTGGAAAAGGTACAGAGAAGGGCAACAAAAATGATTAGGGGTATGGATCAGCTTCCATATGAGAAGCGATTAATAAGACTGGGACTTTTCAGCTTGGAAAAGTGACCACTAAGGGAGGATATGATTGAGGTCTATAAAATCATCAATGGGGTGGAGAAAGTGAAGGAGGAAGTGTTATTTACTCCTTCTCATAACACAAGAACCAGGGGTCACCCAATGAAATTAACAGGCAGTAGGTTTAAAACAAACAAAAGGAAGTATTTCTTCACATAACACACAGTCAACCTGTGGAACTCCTTGCCAGGGGATGTTGTGAAGGCCAAAACTATAATGGAGCTCAAAATAATTAAATAACTTCATAGAGGATAGGTCCATCAATGGCTATTAGCCAAGATAGGGATGCAACCCCATGCTCTGCGTGTCCCTAGCCTTTGGCCTGGTCCCCACTAACGCCCCACTTCGGACTAAGGTACGCAAATTCAGCTACATTATTAACGTAGCTGAATTCGAAGTACCTTAGTCCGAACTTACCGCGGGTCCAGACGCGGCAGGGAGGCTCCCCCGTCGATGCCGCGTACTCCTCTCGCCGAGCTGGAGTACCGGCGTCGACAGCGAGCACTTCCGGGATCGATCCGGGATCAATTTATCGCGTCTAAACTAGACGCGATAAATCGATCCCAGAACATCGATTGCCTGCCGCCGGACCCTCCGGTAAGTGTAGACGTACCCTTTGACTGCCAGAAGCTGGGAGCGGATGATAGGGGATTGACCACTTGATGATTGCCCTGTTCTGTTCATTCCCTCTGAAGCACCTGGCATTGGCCACTGTTGGAAGACGGGATACTGGGTTAGATGACCCATTGGTCTGACCCAGTATGGCTGTTCTTGTGTTCTAAAGCAGTCTGAGATGCAACTGGCATGCGAGATGTTCCAGAATTTAAGGGCACTGTCCTGTGATCCTTATGCATGCCAGCACTGCCACAGGAGTCAGGAAGGGGGGCAGGATCAGGCCCTGAAGCTGTAGAATGGGATCTTCCAAAGCGCTCAGCCTGGATCGAAGTCACTGACTTGGGATGGGACTGATGTGAACTGGAGCAGAGTTAGGCCATCGCTGAGTGCTTTGGAAAACCCCATCCTGACAGTATTATGCTGCCAGCTCCCGCAGGGCCCAGTTCTGCAGCCCTCCCATCAGCTGTACACGCTCCCATTAGTAACCCCTTTGACTTCAGTGGGAAGAGGCTTGTGAGTAGGGGCTGCAGGACTGCCTGGACCTTTGATTAGAAATCTCCAGGGGTCAGATCCAGGGAGGCGCTCAGGAGCAATGGACCAGGCCCTTAGGCGCTGTAAAGTGGCATAGCTCCCCTGACTTCAGCAGAGTGGCGATGATTTACACCAGCTGGACATGGCGCAGCAAAGGCTCTGAGATGCAGAGCTGCTCAGCCCGTGACCGATCGCTTTGTGAGCCGCTCACCTTGTCGGAGATTTTGACGAAGAGGCTGAAGCCCTCCGATGACTTCAGCAGCAGTCTGCTGGAGATGTTCTGGCAGAAATCCTTGGCTTTAGTGCTGGACTCCACTTCAAACGCCTGCAAAGAGAGGTGGAACCCACACCTCAGCCATCTCGCTGTTCATCCCCGGGTCACCCTCTCTCACGGGAAACTTAGAGGCGCTTTTTGTACAGAGGCAGAGCTGTCCCGCTGAATTACAGCATTGCTTCTCTGTGCCTTCTTCCTGGTCCCCCCTAGAGGCTAACCTATCACTGCCATTGTTAAAGGAGAGAAAGGCGATGCCTAAGATCTTCCTACTTCGTCAGCAGGTCCCAGTTCTTCTCTCTTTATTCTGAGCGGCAGTCAGTGCTCGGCTTTTGCTTCTGTGGCCTCAGAGACTCAGGACAATCCTGCCTTTCCTCACATTCCCTTTTTACCAGTGATCACTGATTTGCGGGCCCCCCTTGAGCCACTTTGGCTCCTGATCTTCAGAAGTACGGAGCAACTTCCAGCTCCCAATAACTTCAGCTGGAGTTGTGGGTACTCTGCATCCCTGTGAATCAAGCCCAACGCAGGCACCCTACAATTGAGACCCCTCCCTCCCCCAAATCAGTGAAAGGTGGCCCAAATCTGCACAGGACAGGGCTTTGGGGGTTTTTTTGCAGCTGCTGTTGGTTCTCAGGGGGGAGGAAGGGAGAGATGCTACACTGGGCTTAGGCATAGGACTGAGACGCCCCAGGCGTGCAGACATGATTCTACCCCTGCAGGGCGCACCTGCCTCTCGCTGTTCAGGGGTAGTATGACTCCATGCTCCTGGCTGTCCTTTTAAATAGCACCGGCTGCCCCTGGGACCCGATGGCATTCAGAGTGTCACGCCACCACTGTGCCCATAAACCAGCTGATCATGCAGCCTTTACCGTGCAGATCACCACGGGTACCTCGGGTGGCTAACCCACCTAACATTCAAGTCCCCACTGTGTATGCCTTCAGGCTGCCCAAGATGTGTCTGTAAACCATTGTCTTGCTTGTCTCTTGTCACATTTAGGCTATGTCTACACTACCGCGGTAAGTCGACCTACGCTACGCAACTCTAGCTATGTGAATAACATAGCTGGAGTTGACGTACCTTAGGTCGAGTTACCGCAAGGTCTACACTGAGGGGGGTGAACGGGAGAAACTCTCCCGTTGACTTACCTTAGTCTTCTTGTTGGGGGTTGAGTACAGGGGTCGACTGGAGAGCGATCTGCTGTCGATTTGGCGGGTCTTCACTAGACCCGCTAAATCGACCACCGGTAGATCGATCTCAAGAGCCTCGATCCCAGCTGTAGTGTAGACCTGCCCAGGGAAAAAGTTCTAAAGAGATAACATCTCAATGCAGCTGCGAAGATCTCCATGACAGACAAGGACAGACGGGTCCACCTTGTCAAAGGGGGGCATCCCCTCATCTCCCCTTGTGCATGCCCATCTTTGCACAAGCACACACTTGTGTGTGCATTCATCACCTTCTATCTTTTGTAACCACCAGCAATACGGTTTAGATGTTCAAATCCACACAAGATTGTGTGTGCATTCTGCAGTACTAAGTGCTAGTGTGCAAGAATGGCACGTGCCAGGAACTGCACACACAAAGCTGCTCATGCATAAATATTCCTATTCATCTCCATAAGCATGCAGGGTGCTTAGCAGGCAATAAAAGGTGTGCTGCCTGCTACAAAGAACTGACAGTCTAGTTGAGAGAAGACCCTGAAGGAATGGGATAGACACTTATATGTAGGGGGTCTACTTAAATCGCAGAGAAATCAAACACATTTTTCACAGGTTGGTCACAGCATAAATAACAAATTTCATGGATGTGTTACACATCCACAACATTTGCTATTTATGCCGTGACCAATCCATGAAAAATGTGCGATTTCTCCACAGCGTTTCTCAAACTGGGGGCCCCGACACAAAAGGGGGTCACAAGCCTATTGTAGGGGGGATCGCGGTACTGCCACCCTCACGTCTGCGCTGCTCCTGGTGGCAGTTCTGCTTGAAGCTGGATGGCGGGAGAGCGGCAGCTCTGATGGCAGTCCCAATGCCAGCAGCAGCACAGAAGTAAGGGTGGCAATACCATACCAGGCCATCCTTACTTCCCTGATGCTGCTGGCGGTGACACTGCCTTCATAGCTGGGTGTCCAGACAGCAGCCGCCGCATACTCCTCTCCCTTCAGGTCTG